GACGAGAGAACGCGGCCAGGTGCCGGCCTGTGCGTGCGTCCGTGTAGTGGGTCACCCGCTGAGTTGCAGGAGTGAACTGGTGAACCCCCGCATCCTGCAGGTCTGCACCACTCACCAAGTTCGTCGAGAACGAGGGAAGGTACAGACCAGACAGGGTGCCCGAGGGGGCAGCCGGACACGGGAGGACAGTGGAAAAGTGAGAGAGGACAGGACCCCCAGAGGGGTCAGCCAAGGAGACTGCAACCGGCCGACCAAGCGGCGTGAGTGTGGTGCGGTCTCGAAAGAAGGAGCGAGAAGCTCCGTAGTCAAGTGTGAAAGTGAGGGAGGCCGAAGCCGACGCAGTACCTGAGAGCGCAGCCTCACCAGTACCTGAGAGCGCAGACGCACTGGCACCTAGAGCAGCAGTCTCACAAGCACAGAGCGCAGCAGTACCAATGCCCGGGTCGGGCGGGAAACACCGGTAACAGTCACCCTCCTCACTAATAGTCACAGCATACATAGAAGCAAGGATAGCATCAAAGGCAAGATCAAAGATAGCTACACCAGCCCTAGACAACTCTCCCCAGCGGGGGATCTCACTAGCCTCGGGGAACTGCTGACGCCAAGCGTCCGTCGGGCGGCCAAAGCAGCGCTGGGTGGGGTGGGCACCCCCACACTGCTCACCCGCGCGGTCGCCGAAACGAAGGACGTAGGTGCACGGACGAGTACCCCCACCCCGCTGACGCTGCGTGTACCACTCACGGAGCTGCTGGGGCGGAGGGATGTCCCGCGAACGCTGCTGCTGCTGCTGCTGGCGCTGACCACTCCCAGAGCCGCTCCGCTGCGGGGTACCACCCCGACCAGCTCCACCCCCTCCGCCACCACCGCCTCCTCCTCCGCCTCCTCCGCCGCCTCCACCTCCACCGCTACCGCCACCACCGCCGCCTCCTCCGCCGCTGCCACCACCACCACCGCCGCCGCCACCACTCCCGCCGCCACCCCCACTCCCTCCGCCGCCTCCACCGCCACCTCCACCGCCCCCTCCAGCTCCACCCGCGCCCTTGCCCCCCTTGCCCTTGCCAGAGCGGCGTCTCCCACTAGGGGCAGACGCCGCGCCGACCGACTCAAGACTAAGCAGGTCGGCAGCAGCAGCAGAGGCAACAGAGGGCAGCAGGGGGGAAGGAGAGCACCCCTCAAAGATGGGAGTGCGAGGGTCACCCCGAGAAGCTCCTACAGCGACGATGCTCTTCTCCGCCGCTAGGAGGGCCTTCTCGAGGAGGTCGACAGTGAGGGTGGTGGGACAGACTGAGAGAAAGTGGTCCCTGACTACGCGAAGAGAGTCAGGGAGGCGAGCGACAACGTAGTAGAGAGTGATGTACATGGGGGGGGGGGGTTCTTGGCGCAGAACTCAGCAGGAAGGGCGGCGCGGTAGCGGGTGTCACTAGTGCGGAGGTGCGTAATGAGGTCAGCGACAGTGGGAAAGGCAGTGAGGTCAGGAAAGAGGTACGGAAGCATGAGACGGCTCAGTGCAGCAGTGGCAGGGGAAGAGTAGCGCGCAACTACAGCGTCGTACAAGGTCTGAGCACTCTTGTACTGGCTAAAGTGCGCGCGCTCAGTGGTAGGGAGGTGGCGACGCACAGCAAGACGTGCAGCAGCATCGCGGGTGGCCCACTGAGAACGAACAGTGGGGTCAGCATCAGCAGCAGGGGCAGGCGAGGCGCCAGAGGTGAGGTCAAAGAGAGAAAGACCGTCTGCCCTATCGCACTGTAAGAACAGCTGGAGGTCGTCGACCCAGACCTCAAAGTCTATGGCTCGACCCTCAGCGTCAAAAGCGAGGACACTAGGGGTAGCCATAGCGACAGACTAGCAGTGCAAGCAGTGGGGAAGGGCACGCAGTAGCAGTGGGGCAGTGCCGTGCTCACCAGAAAAGGGGCAGGTCGGGCGATCCGGTTCGTGGGCGGCTCGGCTGCTGTGGGGCGGCTCGGCAGCTCCTGGGCGGCTCGGCGGCTGCGGGGCGGCTCGGCAGCTCCCAGGCGGCTCGGCTGCTACTGGGCGGCTCGGCTGTTGCTGGGCGGCTCGGCTGCTGCTGGGCGGCTCGGCTGCTGCTGGGCGGCTCGGCTGCTGCTGGGCGGCTCGGCTGCTGCTGGGCGGCTCGGCAACGGGGCGGCTCAGCTGCTGCAGTGCTGGGGCGGCGGGGCTGCGAGAGCAGGGACGGCGGGGCCGTGAACGCTGGGGCGGCGGGGCCGCGAGATCAGGGGCGGCGGGGCCGTAGGCGCTGGGGTGGCGGGGCCGCGAGATCAGGGGCAGCGGGGCCGCTGGAGCAGGGGCGGCAGGGCCGCGAGAGTAGGTGGCGGCGGGGCCGCGAGAGAAGGGGCGGCGAGGGCCGCGAAAGCAGGGGCGGCGAGGGCCGCGAAAGCAGAGGCCACGGGGCCGCGAAAGCAGGGGCGGCAGGGCTGCGAGAGCAGAGGCCGCGGGGCCGCGACAGCAGGGGCGGCGGGACCGCGGGAGTAGGGGCCGCGGGGCCGCGACAGCAGGGGCGACGGGGCCGCGCGAGCAGGGGCCGCGGGGCCGCGACAGCAGGGGCGGCGGGGCCGCATGATCAGGGGCGACGGGGCCGCTTGAGCAGGGGCCGCGGGGCCGCGACAGCAGGGGCGACGGGGCTGCGCGAGCAGGGGCCGCGGGGCCGCGACAGCAGGGGTGGCGGGGCCGCGGGAGCAGGGGCCGCGGGGCCGCGACAGCAGGGGCGACGGGGCTGTGCGAGCAGGGGCCGCGGGGCCGCGACAGCAGGGGCGGCGGGGCCGCGTGATCAGGGGCGACGGGGCCGCGATGTGAGGGCGGCTGGGCCGCTAGGGGAGGGAGGGCCCGAGGCGCGACTCGGGATGGGCGCGCTCCGGGCAGTAAAAAAAAAAATCGAACTAGCGGTCGGCCCTAGGTGCAGTTCCCACAGGGGAACTTGCTTGATACCATGAGAAAGTTTGAACGAGAATGAATGAACTATGAGTGAAGTGAGTACAAATAGCAAACCCTAATTGGGTTGTACCCCCTATGGGATACCCCACTATAGCCTACACAACAGCATAAGCTATATAATGTTCTGACAGCCGCCGCTGTCCTGGTGAGTATGGGGTGTATTCCAGCTGCGAATAGCAGTGGGCCGTGTGGATCTCCTTGTCGTACGCCTGTCTCGCTGGTCAATGCCTCGCAACCGAACCCCGCGTCGAGGAACAGATGGGCTGGCCTACTGTAGGATGCCTTGACCAAGGGGATCAAGCTCTGGAGTTTGGTGTCGCGAAGCGCGCTGACAACGGATGCGCGGCTAATGGAGTTAAAGGCGTTTGCCAGGTCCGCCTGCAGAATAAGCGCGTCAGGGTTTGCGATGGTGAATGCTCTGGTAGCGTGTATAATTGCCTCGCTGCCGCCTTGGACAGATACGCAGTACTGTAACGGGAGGAAATGCGTGCGGCACTCGTGGGAGAGGGCTGAGAGGGCGGACTTAGCGGCTAAACGGAGGATACATTCTCCCACTGCTATCGGTCGCGTGCCACCATCTGGCTTGGCGAGTGCTATGAGCCGGCTAGCTGTTAGTAGTGCGCAGATCTCATCAGGCAGTTTGCCTCCTAAGATAGTGTTGACGAGGGCGTGGAGGTGTGTGATAGCCCCCGCGTTAGTGAGTGATGCATCACGCAGGTGTTCAAATGTCATACCAGACGGTCCCCCTCCCACCCCGTTCTCGAAGCGGCACAACATTTTTATGAAGTCCCCATTCTCGATTGATGCCGCTTGAACAGTATCGGGGATGCTTCAATCAATGATTCCAGGTGGCGCGGGGGGGGTGCTTTGCTTTGAGAGCGGCGAGAATGGTTGCAGATGGGTCGGCAACCAGCGTTGACTCGAGGGCGAGGATCGCCCTGCGAAGGCTTCCTTTTCGTGCGAGGCCTTCTGCCCTGGCACGTTTGCCGGGGGCATCTGGCGTATGACGGGGTGAGTGTGGTCCAGTTATTGCGGTAACTGCCGAGTCGTAGAAGCTGCTGCCATTCGCCTTTGTTGAATTAGCAAAGACGGCGCTTGACAGCCGGCAAATCGGGCTTCTCCCTCTCTCTCTCTCTCAAGCAGTCCTTCATTGATAGGATCAAAAAGGTACAAGCATGGCATGAGTAGAGACTAGGCCATTGTCTACTCTAGTTATCCCTGCATTCATGGCCCTACAAGATATAGGTACATGCGAGTGCTACCTGCAACAAACCAGACCCGGTACCCTCAAGCCACTCCATCTCCTGATCCCTTGCCCTCCTTGCAGCCTTAACCCTTGTCCTTCCTGTTCAGCTGCCCTCCTGACCAGCCCGTGCTGCCCTACTCCCCCAGTACCCCCTCCATCTCGGTAGCTCGGTTTGACTTGGAAAGGAAGGACACCGCCTGGCTACGCTGGAGCATTATGGACCACCGCTGCCTGTAACGAGCTGTGAGCCGCGCAGCCGTGGTGGTTAGTTTGCCTTGGCGGTACTTCTTCTTTGCTGCCGAGGTTGCTAGCAGCCACAAAAACTGCACTGTATCTGCTGCCAAGGCCCCGTATGTCTCAACCGCCAAACCAAAAAACCCCACACTGTCCGGGCGACCCTCGTAGAGCCTATGCTTGCTCTCGGATGCTTCCTTTGCCGCCCACCCTGGCGGCTTCCGTGTTCTAGTGTCGCGCCTCTGTAGGACTGGGTCAGTCACGGTCACGTCCGTGACAAAGGTTTCACCCGATTCCTGGTCCTGGATTGCTAAATCTGCCCTCTTACGTAGCACAGGGGATCAATGATTCCCAGGCCTCCTAGCCAAACCGGGAGCGTTGACTGGCGCCACAGCAAGCTCTGCTCTAGCTCGCTCGGCGGGATCTGAAGCTTCGAAGCCACGAGCCCTGCTCCTACCAAAGCCTCGCTCCACTCCCGCCATTCCGTACGGGCCAGCGCATCTGCTGGTGTTGTGCGAAGTAAGTACGAGATGCGGCGGGAGATGCTCCGGGATAGCATGAGTAGTGCGTGCTACAGGTTGAGTTGGGAGATGAGATAGAGCGGCGCAGCCGCCTCCGCAAGCGTCGCCCCAACCTGGTCGGTGCAGAAGGCGTCGCTGCCGACCGGGCTGCCCAACACTTTCAAACCGCCTGGGTGGATAGGGAGACCGCGTGGCAGGCCATCTCCCCCTTCCTCCCACACCGCACACCATGCCGCCGACTTGGTAAGGTTGCACCGTAATCCACATGAGGCCAGCTCCGTGACGACCATGTTGAATGCCATGCACGCTGCCTCGCGAGGCCCGACGATGGTGATGTCGTTAGCATAAGCCACTATTGCCACCTCCGGTACGCTCGTGGCCATGCTGAGTAGTATTAGCTGGATCGCCGCTGCAAAAAGGAGAGGTCCCAGCGGATCCCCTTGGCGGACACCCCTGGAGCTTTGGATGTGCTGCACTTCCAAGCGAGGGTCGACTAAAAGTCGCGAGGGGCCATCGTAGAGGTTCCTGACGAGCGGGATTAGCGGGTTGAGAGTGGACGACTAGAGGGCGGAGAGGAATGACGCGTGCTCTACACTGTTAAAGGCGTTCTCAACGTCCGATTGTAGAGCTATGCAGGTCTTGTCGTCTATAAGGAGAGAGCGAACCGTGTGGATAATACACTCCGGACCTCCTGGGACCGCTACGCCGAACTGGACGGGAAGAAAAAACTCCCTGATTTTTGGGCCAAAACTGTGTAGCGCCGCTTTAGCCACCACTCGGAGTAACGTCTCGCCTATTGCGATCGGTCTAACTCCTCCCCCAGGCTTCTCTAAAGCTATGAGCCAAGAAGGAAGTAGAAGGGCGCGGACTGGTTGGCTCTGGAAAGAGCTGGCAAGGCGATTGACCACGTTCTCCAGCAGCAGTAGGATCTCTTCATTTGCCAGGGCTGGGTCTCGTAGGTGTTCAAAACAGCAGCCTGAGGGCCCCGCTCCTACCCCATTCAGGCATTTCGAGAGAATTTCGCGTAGATTTTCGAGTGGAATGCTGAGCTCGGAGTCAGTTATCTCGGTAACTTAGGCTGGTGTTGGAGCGCTAGATGACGGGTGTTTCGCTCGCAGGGCGAATAGCGTCGCAGAGTTTGGTTCGGCAAGGGGGCTCGTACGTAACGCCGCAACCGCCTTCGAAATGTTACCTTTTTTAGCCAAACCCTCCGCTCTCGCACAAACCCCCTCGTCATCATCTTGGTGCCTTAGCGGAGCACCCGTGTCGAGGATGGTGCAAGCGGCCTTGAACAAACCATCCCAATCTCCCAGCTGGAACCGATGCAGCCGAGCCTCAATTTCTGCCCATCAACTGCCTGCAACTGGCTTTGGTGGCGGGCGCAATGTCAGCCTCGGGAGGTACAGTAGAAATCGCCCAAGCACCTGGGCATTCTGGGTTTGTCGACAGCCGCAGGAGAGGTGCGAGGAGACACAGGCAAGATTTGTCCAACACTTGAGGTGGTAGTCGTCTGACTAGGAAAGGTTGGTTCATCCGTTGAAGGAGATCCAGAGTCCACGTTCCTGCTGCCTGCCAGATGGCGTCATCCTCTGCCAGGGTGGCCGGCGATTTTACTTTGTTGGTGACCGTGGCACCTGGTAGAGGCACTCCTTCAGCCTGGGATGTCACTTCGTCCACTCCCTCTCCCGCTCCTCTCACTCGATTCCGGCCTCTTCCCACTTTCTCCTCGTTATCCAAAGAAATCTCTTCGGACTCTGGGCCAGCCTCCTCTCCACACATAAACTCAGGATCCCCTGTGTCCTCAGCAGATCCAACTTCTTCCCTATTGGCTGCGGCCTCCAAAACCTCCGGGCAGTCGTGACGCTCCTGCCAAGGGCTAGTTCGTGCTTGGATCTCGGCTCCCCCCAGGCGAGCGACACCCCCGCGCCCTCCCCCTCGCCTCCCGCGGCCCATACCGCGGAAACCCCGGCCTGCTGCCGGCGCTGGCCGAGCCGTCGCTTCCAGTCCCGCTCTCCCCGCCGGCATCCACGGGGTACGGCCACCCCTTGGTGGACCCCACGTGACAGCTCCCAACCGAGCCGAGCGACAAGTGGCGACGGCTTCCGCGGCTGGAGCGACTGGGCCTGGCGGTGAGTGCATGTGCGTTTCATTGTCCTGGTTTGGAGCCGGCTGCTCTGCATGGCGGGTTGCCGTCGTCTCTATTGCCGCCTCATTGAGTCCAGAAACCCCTCGTGCCTCTTGCATGTGCGCAGATGACGACCGATGCGCTCGCTCTGATGGCGGTTGCCCTTGCAGAAGCCAGCCCAGGAGGGGTCCCGGGGAGCCAGGTCCCAGCCCTGCTCCGGGCCGTCTTGGCGCTGGCTGGGCCCGTAGATTCTTCTTCGACTTCGCCCGTGCAGCGCTGGAGGAATCGCCGTTCGCAGGTCCTGGAAACTCTCCCACCGCCTGGCCGTGCTCCTGCCTGCTTGCGGCCGCGGCAGCAGTAGGCATTTCGGCGCACGCAACGGCAGTCGTCGCGCCTTCTGCCGTCGGAGCGTCACCATGCTCCCCAGTCGCAGCAGACACCACTGCCGCCAGCGCAGCTGGCGTCACCGGTGCCAAGGACGTGGACAGTGCCACCTCCGCGATCTGTTCCGGATCCGCCCCCAACCTCGTCCCCTCAGCCTCCACGTGTGCAACCCGTGGGATGGAGAGGGTGAAACTGAGCCGGCGTCAAAGGCAGCGGCAGAAACGCCAGCAGACACCAAGACAGCAGCCCTCTCCACTGCAGGCACAACAGCATCAGCAGCCACAGACTTCCTCGCCACCGTCGTCGTCATTCTGGGTAGCACAGCAGCAGCCAGCTCAATCTCCGCTCCATCGGTTTCCTTTGCCCCTCCGTCCGCAGCACCAATGGGGGCCGGTAACGCCTCCCACCCCGCCTCCTCCCCCTGCCGTGGTTCCTAGTGAGCCTCCAACTCTCGTCGAGCAGCGCGTGATGCACGTGGGGACTTGCTTGACGCTCCTGTCGTATGTGCTCGACCAGCTTCACGTGACCCTGCTGCAGCAGGAAGTGCAGATCGAGGCGATGCAGCCAGCGGCATTATCGGCAGCGGAGGAGATGCAGCATTACCTCCCCCTGATTGGCTTTGTGCCGGGCTCCCCTGGGGATGCCCTCGCGCCTGGCCCTGGAGCTTTGGCGCGGCTTGCCGAGTCTGCCCAGGACGACCCGCTCAACCTTGTAGCCGCAGCCGCGTCTGTCCTACGCTGGCTGGACGGGCGGCTTTGTTGGATCCTGGTTGAGTACGAGATGCCTTCCCCTTGCCAGCCTGCCGTGTGGCAGGCCTGGCTTTGGGCTTCCCCATGGCGGTGTAGGCACGCCTGGGGGTTTTGTTGTTGTTGTGTGTTGTCTAGCCCTGCCTGTTGTACTGCTCCATGCTATAGTCCTTGTTCCCTTGGTCCTTGTCACACGCGGTCGGCGCGAGCCGCCGGTTTTGGAGAGTGAAATGAACTCACCAGTGAAGAATGAGCTCAAAAGGGTGCATCGAAGGACTTTATACAAGGAGACTAGGCTAAAAACGGCTAAGGACTGGATTCTACACTATAGAGGGCTAAAAACGGCGAAGGACTAGTCCTAAGCCATCTCTCTCTCTCGGCTAGGAGAGAAACCCAACCAAAAACTGAATAATGAAGAGGCCACAAGGCCTGCTGAGGCCTTTATACTAGGACTAGGGAGGCTAGGGAGGCTAGGGGAGGCTTGAGAGGCTATCTCTCTCTCTCTCTCTCTCTCTCTCTCTCTCTCTCTCTCTCTCTCTCTCTCTCTCTCTCTAATGGTCCGTATATTGATATGGCAAAAAGGTACAGACATATAGTTCCACGAGCATGTGAGATTCAGACTAATCCCTCTAGAGTTCCACCAGTGGCTCCAAAACAGCAAAGCAGTCCCCTAGGTGTAGCTCATGCCCAATACCCCCTTTCCGTGCCTGTGGGTCCCTGGTACTGATGGGGTCTGTCACGGTCACGTCGCACACCCAGACCGCCCCACTGCTCCTATCCGACATGGTGAAGTCGGCTGTTTGTTCCTCGACAGGGCAGTGGGCAGCCGACTCCCTGTGGACGATAAACCCCGCATCCTGTGCCATACTAATGCAGGCATCTCGGAGCTCGTTGTGGGTGTTGATGCGCTGCCTTCCAGTGCCGCAGCGTAGGAGGTGATTCGGGAGGCGGGGGTCTAGGATTTCGGTGTGATCAGAGCAATCACAGTTTTTCGGGGTGGAGAAGGGCAGCCCGAGCCTGAATCTGACGGCATTTGCGAAGTGTACCGGGCCTAGGCGTCTGGTTGCTTCTATAGGGATGGCTGTCAGCCAGTCCCCTGTGCCATAGCCGGTTAGGGAGAACATCCGCTGCGTATGGCCTGCTAGCGGATTCAGTTCCATGTCCTTCGTTGCCTGTACTTGCACGGCGTAGCGGCTACCGTGAACCTGTAGGGCAAGGGCGTGCTGTAGTTTGACATCTGTCCGCTTAAGTCGTTCCCGTTCCAGTAGCTCTCGCGCATCCGAAGGCAGGGCGGACTCGCACTCTGTGAGCCAGGAGCGAAGCGGTGTGTTTTCATCCGTGGGCCGTAGCATATGGCAGCGCGCGTGGGAGAGGGCGGTGTCCGGATCTAGCGCGAGCGTAGAGAAAAGCAGAGCCGCCTGTGTGAAGCTTGCGACGAAACCGTACACTCCCTCAACGAGGGGGTCAGTAACACCTATTCCCCCTAGAGAGGGGGGCAAGGAGGCCTGCGCCCAGACGCGTGCCTGTTCCGCTCTACCCGCCGGCACATGAATGCTGCACGAGGTAAGGAGTGCCAGGAGGAGGTCACGACCCCACTCCGTCCAAGTGTCTCGTGAAACGAGGTTGAGAGGAGTTGTTCGAGTTAGATAGGACACGCGCCGAGAGATGCAGCGTGTGATCAGCAGCGAGGCCACCTGAGGATCTGCCCGCTCAATGAGGTGTAAGGGTTTCGCCAGGTCCTTCAGCTGGCCCGCTAAGAAAGAAGCTGCGCCGTTGGCCGCCCCCAGAAAACTCCCAAGCAAGCGGATGCCGTCTGTGCAGAACGGCACCCCTGGAGGTAACCCAGCAGAGTCGCACGCAGTGGCGCTCCATGCCGTGCATTTCTGCGGGTTGTGCTTCAGGCCTAGTGATTCCAGTTTGGAGGTGAAGTGGTTGAACGCGGCTACAGTGGCACTTCGTGCACCCACGAATGTCACGTCGTCAGCATAGGCCAGGCAAAGCACCCCTGGGTGAGCTGCTGCAGTGTCACGAAGTGTAGGGTGTATTCCCGCCGCAAACAGGAGCGGGCCGAGTGGGTCGCCCTGGCGAACGCCACGTTCGCTGCGTAGGGGTCCGCTCGCGAAGGTCGAGTCCATGTAGAGTCGCGACGGGTTACCGTAGGTCAGTCGAACCAGTGGGAGTAGTGGCGATAGAGTTGGCTCCTGTAATGCCGCTGCGATGGATTGTCGCGAAATGCTGTTGAAAGCATTCGCAATGTCGGTCTGTAGTACCAGGCTGTTTGGGTGGCAGTCCACGTACGTTCGGGCGGCGTGAATTATCGCTTCCGCCCCACCAGGCACCGCCACTCCGAACTGTAGGGGTAGGAAGAAGTCACGTGCAGCCTCCCCCATGACCAACAGCGCAGCTTTGGCAGCCAGCCGAGTCAGGCATTCTCCGATAGCGATTGGTCGGACCCCCCCCCCAGGTTTGGCCAGGGCGATGAGTCTGGACGCAGTAAGCAGGTCCGCAACCGAAGCTGGGAGGTTGCCCCCCAGAATTGTATTCACGAGGGCGTGCAGATGGGTGCTGACGGATGCATTGGTTATTGCCGCGTCGCGCAGGTGCTCAAATGTTGTGCCAGACGGTCCGGCACCAACACCATTCTCGCATCTCCCAAGGAGCTTCGCAAATTCTGCGTGGGAAATGCACAGGGGCTTAGCATCGGCTGACTGCCAGGTCAGCTGGTCGTCTCCCGCCGGTGGATGCTTTTGTCGCAGCTCGTCTAGAATTTATGGGCTCGGTGTACAGACGGGTGTTGACTCGAGCGTCAACACGGCTCGACGCAGACTGCCACGTTTCGCCAACCCCTCGGCTCTGCTCAGGACACCTGTCACATCGGGTTGGTGACGTGGGGGCGGAGGGGCGTTGACCGCGTTTATCGCCTCCTGGTAGAGCTGTGACCACTCGCCTCGCTGGAATGCCCGAAGACGGGCCTTGATTTGTGGCCAATTTGGGTGCTTTGGCGAAGCCTGGCGAAGGGTCAGACGCGGGAGGAAGAGAAGCAGCGTCCAACCCGCTTCGGAGTCAGGGTTTCGCGAAAGGTGAAGTAGCGGGGTCAGGAGTGTCAGCGAGAATAACTGGCACAGGTTAGGCGGTAATCGTCTTGACAGCAGCGGTTGGCGACTATCGCAGAGGGCGGAGATGTCCCAGTTCGCTATGTCGGCGAATTTATCCCCCATCTCCGCTAGCTCCACTGGCGAAAAATAGCGCGGGCGCTGCGGGGCCAATCCTGACACTGGGTGGAGGGAAGCGTTTCGATGTCTGCGTGCGCGACTCGGTGGCGTTGACTACTGCCGAGTTGGATTCTCATCCGTCCGATCGGCATCCAATGGCCCTGCACGCCTTTCTGTTCCCACTGTGGGTAAATTGGCTGTCTCAGGTCTTCTCCTCCCTGTCCCTACTCTCGTTGCCTCCGCTCCGTCTCTTTCTTCCTCGTTTTCGCTGTCTGGCTCCACTCCCGTAGTATAAGAGGGGTCATTTCTGTCCCCTTCTGTATTAGCCGCTACCAAAGCAATTAAAGCCCGACGTCCCGCAGCCTGAAACCCATTCTCAGGCCCTCCGCCAGTTCCGCTAACCGTCTGCCTCCTTTCTTCCCGTGCTGCACTACCTCGTGATGGTGATTGCTGGAGCTCCCGAGCCGTCGCCAGAGCGCGCTGCCGCCTGGTCGACAGTGGTCGCCAAGCCTCAGTCTGAGGCCGGAAAGGCGACCACGGCGAAGAAGCCCCCGGTGGCTCCGGCTCCGAAGCCCTCGACAACATCCGCTGAAAAGCCTCCTCACCCCGAACCCGAGGCTCCCCTTGCCGCAGCTGCCGCTCAGTCTGTGGCTCTTGCTGCTGCTGGGAAATCCGCTCCGTCCACGCCAACTGCTCCCCAGGCTTCGCCCGATGGCCCGTCAGGGTCTGCCGCCGCGCTCCCGGCTCCTGCTCCCGTTGGGCCCCCCGCTTCGGGCCCCAAGCCGCAGACTTCTGTGCCTGCCTCGTCCCCGCAGCCGACGTCCGCCACCACTGGCGGCCCGACGCAATTGATTGTGTCCCCTGCATTGGACCCGTCTGCTCCCGTTGCGCCTCCCGTGGCTCAGCCGACGCAACCAACGTCGCAGTCACGTCCTCCCTCGCCGGACCGTCGCCTATCTCGCCCTCATTCTCCAGCGCCCCAACAGGATCGGGCGTCCTCCCGGCGCCGGCGGAATTCTCCCCGGCGCAATGAGCAATCGGGTCAGTGGCAAGCTCACCGTGGCGGTCGCGGCGGCTGGTGGGGTTCTCGTGGTCGCAATGGGGGAGGGTCGTATGATCCGCCCGTGAGGATGGCGGATCTGCAACGTGCGGTAACGACCGCGATGCGTGAAGAGAGGGCTGCTCAGACACAAGGCAGCTCGCACGTTGCCGTCGCCCATGCCGCCCAGCGTCAAGCGGCGCCTCATGAGGTTCCGCCCCCTGCTGCACTCGTCCAATCCCGTGTTCCGGCCTCATCGCTTCCCGCTGCTGCTGCGACTGCTCCCGTTCCAGGGTCGCGGTTGCATCTGCCGCCAGTCCCGCCCGTGGCGGGAGTAGAATTTGTGGCTGTGGGAGGCGGAGCGGTGACGGCAGTTGGCCCGGCTTCTCCTGCCGTAGTGGAGCCGTTCCAGTTCCTTGCGCAGGCGCTGCAACCCCCTCAGGCCCGGGTTCCGGAGGCGACCCTCGGCCAGCTCTTCCGTCTCGCAGAGAGCTTTCACGCTCTGCTCTTGATACAGGTTCTTGCTCACTCGTCCCTCCCCGCGGCCCCCCCTGAGTTGTTCCTGGATCGTCACCGCGACTCTTGTCTGGACGCCGCCGATCAGCTTGCAGGGCTGCTGGCGCCCGTGCTGGCTGCGCCCGCCGAGGGAGGCGTTGCGGCGGCGGGGCCGCTTGATGAGGCTGTGCGCGGCTTGCGGCGCCATTTGCGTGCTGGGTCTGGAGCCGCTGCGATCGGCGCAAGCACGCTTGTGGTCCGGGAGCTGTGGCGCTCCCTGACGGGCGTTCTTCACGCCCTTGGAGCTCACCGCATGTAGGCGCGGGCTCCGGCTCTGCCATTA